ATACAGCAGAATTTGTATATTATCTTCGGCGAAACGAATTTTAATTTTCCTACAAGTGAATTTCGCACATTTTTTTTTTTTAGTGAAAAAGACTTTATAATACTGGATTAAATTAAAACTTGGTGAGACTTCTATCGAACGTTTTGTATCGAGGATTAATTAAAAATTTAAAAAAATGAAAAATTACACGGAGCAATTATCTGAAAGTTTCACTCTTTTGTAGTTAAAGCTTAAAACAGCAGAATTTATTTTTCCTCGATGGAACGAATTTTAATTTTGCAAGTCACGTTACTTTCACATCATGAAAGTACACTCTATAAAGATTTTATTCACTGTTTCATTATGCCGTTATATTTCACAATGTTACGAAATTTAAAGGCACTGAGTAATGTATGACGTTGGTTCTTAATCGTTTGACACAGAACGATCATTTAGCCGATTTTTAACGATGAAGAATTAAGTAAGTCTGACGTATCGTTGGCGTATCATCGCGACGTAATCACGCGAGGCAGATTGCGTTTTGTGCAATACAAAGTAGTATTCCATAATCAAAGTCAACATTGACTAATCCGTCGTTAGGGAATTAAGTGGAATCGCTGCATAGATATGCAACCGGTGAAACTCATCGCGCGCACATACATCGCGAGAATGGTTTCATTTTGTACGCTGTATTTCAACGAGCGTGCGAGCGAGTTACGAGGCAAATGACAAGATAATTCTGCGCTAATAAAGTCGAGTTGAGCGTGAAGTACATCTTTTCTTCTACATGAAAAGTACGAACGAAGACTCTGATTTCTGAACGATTTCGTTTATTCTTTAATTGTAGGATAAGTACTTAAAATCGACTCGAGTAATTAATGGCGCTTTCTTTATTCTCGAGCAAAATAGATAATCGTTGTTTGAATGAAGAATCTAGAATTGAAAGTTTTCACGATGTGTTAGAATTGCTAATTTTCGCGCTGATTCGTGGAAAATTTAAGAAACGCAAAAATTTATGGAATACGCGAAGTAAAATAATTAAATAAAATAATAAATAAAATTCAATAATTATGCACTTAGTAATAATATTAATATTAACGTTGAAATATAATATCGCATTTAAAACAGAGACAAAATTCTATCTAAGAAGCCAGAATTTTATCCAGAAAAGTTGCTTGCGAATGATATTAAATATCTAGAAATTAACAATAATTTTGTGTCACGCGTCAGTTTTTATTCAACGTAGCAAATCTCATTTTCAAACTTCGAACAGCTTTAAATCAGAAATCATTATCGAACGTGTCTGTTCTACTCGCGAGGAAAATCATCGATTGAAAAATGTGCCATTTTTTTTAGAGTTGCACAGCCACGTGTTTTTTCATCGTGTGCATTCATGGCACACTTCGAAACCTCGTTATAGCAATTATCGTCGCTCCTCGTCAATTCTCCAGTATCTAAATGGTAATTTCTAATCTGTATACAGCGAAAGTTTGCAATTCCACGGAGAATCACGGCCTCGGAGCCTCAACTATCTCGGCGCGGAATTATTCGGCTGCGTCGAAATAAAAAATGAACGCAAAAATACAACTGCAGTGCTGGCCGTCTATTTAAATTGCGCATAAATACATTTTCTAATCGACGGAAGCGAATACAACATATAATTAGAAGCGAATTGAATCGATCGATTATTCTTCCGAATGGAAATGAAACGATAGAGAAACGAGTATGCAATGTGTGTTTATCTGGTATGTTTGCCTTCTAACGCGAACCTCGTAATCATCGCGAATATAGATATTGAAACGAAAATATCTTCTAATTTTATTTAAACGCATTATCACTTTGATAGTCGTGTGTGATCACGAATAACAAGTTTTCAACAAATTGAAAATGAAAGATGACTCGTTTAAATTAATCGA